TCAAATTAAAGACAAAAACAGAGAGCTTTGAAATGTGTGTTATATAAAATACATGATGATGTTCAAATTAAAGACAAAAACAGAGAGCTTTGAAATGTGTGTTATATAAAATACATGATGTTCAAATTAAAGACAAAAACAGAGAGCTTTGAAATGTGTGTTATATAAAATACATGATGATGTTCAAATTAAAGACAAAAACAGAGAGCTTTGAAATGTGTGTTATATAAAATACATGATGATGTTCAAATTAAAGACAAAAACAGAGGACTTTGAAATGTGTGTTATATAAAATACATGATGTTGTTCAAATTAAAGACAAAAACAGAGAGCTTTGAAATGTGTGTTATATAAAATACATGATGTTCAAATTAAAGACAAAAACAGAGGACTTTGAAATGTGTGTTATATAAAATACATGGTGTTGTTCAAATTAAAGACAAAAACAGAGAGCTTTGAAATGTGTGTTATATAAAATACATGATGTTCAAATTAAAGACAAAAACAGAGAGCTTTGAAATGTGTGTTATATAAAATACATGATGATGTTCAAATTAAAGACAAAAACAGAGAGCTTTGAAATGTGTGTTATATAAAATACATGATGATGTTCAAATTAAAGACAAAAACAGAGAGCTTTGAAATGTGTGTTATATAAAATACATGATGATGTTCAAATTAAAGACAAAAACAGAGAGCTTTGAAATGTGTGTTATATAAAATACATGATGATGTTCAAATTAAAGACAAAAACAGAGAGCTTTGAAATGTGTGTTATATAAAATACATGATGATGTTCAAATTAAAGACAAAAACAGAGGACTTTGAAATGTGTGTTATATAAAATACATGATGTTCAAATTAAAGACAAAAACAGAGAGCTTTGAAAGAGCTTTGAAAGTGTGTGTTATATAAAATACATGATGATGTTCAAATTAAAGACAAAAACAGAGAGCTTTGAAATGTGTGTTATATAAAATACATGATGTTCAAATTAAAGACAAAAACAGAGAGCTTTGAAATGTGTGTTATATAAAATACATGATGATGTTCAAATTAAAGACAAAAACAGAGAGCTTTGAAATGTGTGTTATATAAAATACATGATGATGTTCAAATTAAAGACAAAAACAGAGATGATGTTGTTCAAATTAAAGACAAAAACAGAGAGCTTTGAAATGTGTGTTATATAAAATACATGATGTTCAAATTAAAGACAAAAACAGAGAGCTTTGAAATGTGTGTTATATAAAATACATGATGTTCAAATTAAAGACAAAAACAGAGAGCTTTGAAATGTGTGTTATATAAAATACATGATGTTCAAATTAAAGACAAAAACAGAGAGCTTTGAAATATGTGTGTTATATAAAATACATGATGTTCAAATTAAAGACAAAAACAGAGAGCTTTGAAATGTGTGTTATATAAAATACATGATGATGTTCAAATTAAAGACAAAAACAGAGGACTTTGAAATGTGTGTTATATAAAATACATGATGTTCAAATTATAGACAAAAACAGAGAGCTTTCAAATGTGTTATATAAAATACATGATGATGTTCAAATTAAAGACAAAAACAGACGACTTTGAAATGTGTGTTATATAAAATACATGATGTTCAAATTAAAGACAAAAACAGAGAGCTTTGAAATGTGTGTTATATAAAATACATGATGTTCAAATTAAAGACAAAAACAGAGAGCTTTGAAATGTGTGTTATATAAAATACATGATGATGTTCAAATTAAAGACAAAAACAGAGAGCTTTGAAATGTGTGTTATATAAAATACATGATGTTCAAATTAAAGACAAAAACAGAGAGCTTTGAAATGTGTGTTATATAAAATACATGATGTTCAAATTAAAGACAAAAACAGAGAGCTTTGAAATGTGTGTTATATAAAATACATGATGATGTTCAAATTAAAGACAAAAACAGAGAGCTTTGAAATGTGTGTAAAGACAAAAACAGAGAGCTTTGAAATGTGTGTTATATAAAATACATGATGTTCAAATTAAAGACAAAAACAGAGAGCTTTGAAATGTGTGTTATATAAAATACATGATGATGTTCAAATTAAAGACAAAAACAGAGAGCTTTGAAATGTGTGTTATATAAAATACATGATGTTCAAATTAAAGACAAAAACAGAGAGCTTTGAAATGTGTGTTATATAAAATACATGATGTTCAAATTAAAGACAAAAACAGAGAGCTTTGAAATGTGTGTTATATAAAATACATGATGATGTTCAAATTAAAGACAAAAACAGAGGGCTTTGAAATGTGTGTTATATAAAATACATGATGATGTTCAAATTAAAGACAAAAACAGAGAGCTTTGAAATGTGTGTTATATAAAATACATGATGTTCAAATTAAAGACAAAAACAGAGAGCTTTGAAATGTGTGTTATATAAAATACATGATGTTCAAATTAAAGACAAAAACAGAGAGCTTTGAAATGTGTGTTATATAAAATACATGATGTTCAAATTAAAGACAAAAACAGAGAGCTTTGAAATGTGTGTTATATAAAATACATGATGTTCAAATTAAAGACAAAAACAGAGAGCTTTGAAATGTGTGTTATATAAAATACATGATGTTCAAATTAAAGACAAAAACAGAGAGCTTTGAAATGTGTGTTATATAAAATACATGATGTTCAAATTAAAGACAAAAACAGAGAGCTTTGAAATGTGTGTTATATAAAATACATGATGATGTTCAAATTAAAGACAAAAACAGAGAGCTTTGAAATGTGTGTTATATAAAATACATGATGATGTTCAAATTAAAGACAAAAACAGAGAGCTTTGAAATGTGTGTTATATAAAATACATGATGCTGTTCAAATTAAAGACAAAAACAGAGAGCTTTGAAATGTGTGTTATATAAAATACATGGTGTTGTTCAAATTAAAGACAAAAACAGAGAGCTTTGAAATGTGTGTTATATAAAATACATGATGATGTTCAAATTAAAGACAAAAACAGAGGACTTTGAAATGTGTGTTATATAAAATACATGATGTTGTTCAAATTAAAGACCAAAAAACAGAGAGCTTTGAAATGTGTTATATAAAATACATGATGATGTTCAAATTAAAGACAAAAACAGAGAGCTTTGAAATGTGTGTTATATAAAATACATGATGATGTTCAAATTAAAGACAAAAACAGAGGACTTTGAAATGTGTGTTATATAAAATACATGATGTTCAAATTAAAGACAAAAACAGAGAGCTTTGAAATGTGTGTTATATAAAATACATGATGTTCAAATTAAAGACAAAAACAGAGAGCTTTGAAATGTGTGTTATATAAATACTTTGAAATGTGTGTTATATAAATAACCTGATGATGTTCAAATTAAAGACAAAAACAGAGAGCTTTGAAATGTGTGTTATATAAAATACATGATGATGTTCAAATTAAAGACAAAAACAGAGAGCTTTGAAATGTGTGTTATATAAAATACATGATGTTCAAATTAAAGACAAAAACAGAGAGCTTTGAAATGTGTGTTATATAAAATACATGATGATGTTCAAATTAAAGACAAAAACAGAGAGCTTTGAAATGTGTGTTATATAAAATACATGATGTTCAAATTAAAGACAAAAACAGAGAGCTTTGAAATGTGTGTTATATAAAATACATGATGTTGTTCAAATTAAAGACAAAAACAGAGAGCTTTGAAATGTGTGTTATATAAAATACATGATGATGTTCAAATTAAAGACAAAAACAGAGAGCTTTGAAATGTGTGTTATATAAAATACATGATGATGTTCAAATTAAAGACAAAAACAGAGGACTTTGAAATGTGTGTTATATAAAATACATGATGTTCAAATTAAAGACAAAAACAGAGAGCTTTGAAATGTGTGTTATATAAAATACATGATGTTCAAATTAAAGACAAAAACAGAGGACTTTGAAATGTGTGTTATATAAAATACCTGATGATGTTCAAATTAAAGACAAAAACAGAGAGCTTTGAAATGTGTGTTATATAAAATACATGATGATGTTCAAATTAAAGACAAAAACAGAGAGCTTTGAAATGTGTGTTATATAAAATACATGATGTTCAAATTAAAGACAAAAACAGAGAGCTTTGAAATGTGTGTTATATAAAATACATGATGTTCAAATTAAAGACAAAAACAGAGAGCTTTGAAATGTGTGTTATATAAAATACATGATGATGTTCAAATTAAAGACAAAAACAGAGAGCTTTGAAATGTGTGTTATATAAAATACATGATGTTCAAATTAAAGACAAAAACAGAGAGCTTTGAAATATGTGTTATATAAAATACATGATGATGTTCAAATTAAAGACAAAAGCAGAGAGCTTTGAAATGTGTGTTATATAAAATACATGATGATGTTCAAATTAAAGACAAAAACAGAGGGCTTTGAAATGTGTGTTATATAAAATACATGAAATGTGATGATGTTCAAATTAAAGACAAAAACAGAGAGCTTTGAAATGTGTGTTATATAAAATACATGATGTTCAAATTAAAGACAAAAACAGAGAGCTTTGAAATGTGTGTTATATAAAATACATGATGTTCAAACAAAGGAAATATAACAGAAAAGGAAATATCACCCCAACCAAAGGAAATATGATAGAACAGAGGATCAAACATGTAGTCAGCCAAACCAAAGGAAACAGAAACCAAAACAGCGGTAAATGAACCGAAAAAAAACCCCGCAAAACCATAGAAAATAAAATTATACACTGAATAAGACTGTGAAAGTGTGGTGTTTATTGTTACTGAGATTAAAGTCTGTTATCGTCATAACAAATTCAAAACATTCTAACGTTTCTTCATTTTTCAAACGACCTCTTGTTAGGCTTTCTTGTCAGTATTAATGTCAAACGTACTGTCAGAGTGGTTGGGTGGCACAGTGGTAATGTGCTCAACTTTCACCTAGACGTTGGATTGGGACTCGATCTGAAATTGAAAACCTACCGATGCATCCTGTGGACAGATAATCTGGCTTCTTGCCTGTTCTAAACACGGGGAAAGAACTGTTGTCCTGATTGGACAGGATCTTGATGACGTCAGACTTTGTCATATTGCTACATCGTCCTCTCCAGGATTCCAGTACCTTTTCACGTTGAATGGAACTTTCCTCTTGATAGCATGGTGTAGTCAGATACTGAAACCTGTGTATAATGCATAATACAATCATTTCTTTTGTTCAAGCTAATGCTGGGTTGGTTCCGCAATTAGGAAATATTAAACGAGTGTTGTAAGTTACATTTTACATCCACATGAGAGGAAGATTCTATTTATCATTTGATCTGTATTTCTAAAAAAAAAATAAGCGAAAATTTAAATTAATCATCCAGATATATTTCGTTTTTCACTGTCGAGACAACTATATGACGTCATGAAGACGTGACTTATTTATTACGTCATATATGACGTGGTCCTATGGCAAGACACCAAAAACAGTTTTACGACATGAGAGGAAGATTCTATTTATCATTTGATCTGTATTTCTAAAAAAAAAATAAGCGAAAATTTAAATTAATCAAAAACAGTATTTATTACGTCATATATGACGTGACAAATACAAAAACAGTTTTACGACAAATACAGGATGGAACAAGAGTATCGATGTATTAGCTGAGTTCAGTGATCCAGACATATCAAATTATTTAACGAGTTTTAGCAAAGCAAGCGAGCGAAGCAAACCCTAAATACAATACGTGCCGAAAAAGTTAAAATAATTCAAACATATTATCCATCATGAAGTTGTAACACGGAAGTTGCATGCTTTGCGCTAAAGGCAGAGAGCTACATGGCGGACGTAGTATATGGAATATTCTCCTTCACCATGACGCTTTATCACGTGTGCAGACAAGAGTCGCGATAAGTATCTTACTCGGCAAACTTACAAATGTATTTGTCCGAATAAAAATTCTTTGACTTTACGTTTGAGTGTAACATTCTATTTATCATACAATCCGAATTTCTAAAAAAAAAAAAATTAAATGAAACCTATTTTTTTAATTACCCTATAAGACAGGCGTATTTCAATGCGCAAGTTACGTTTTTCACCACCGTGACAATCCTGTGACGTCAGCAAAATGTGAGTTATTTTTGAAGCCACAACTGTGTTATTACCCATGAGTCTACAATTTTTATAACATGACCTTATGGCATGAAACAACATGCCAGATGTGTGATAAAGGTAAATTTAAGACGGACTTGACTTTTCTTTGACACTGTCAACGTCTTCAGCTAATTCTTGGTCTGTATGGTGCGATGACGTATTTAAGATGGTATACAATTAATTTATCCTGTACGTACAGTTTTGTAATTATCTTGTACGTTTAACTTGTATTGGTTGTCGTTATATTACATGAAGAAATAGTTTTATTCCTCTATACTAAAGGCAAACTCTTAATTAAGCAAATTCTGTACTGACGTTAGTGTTAAAAGACACAACGAAAGGGAGACAACCCTGTATTATGTCAAATCTCGGTCAGAACTTCGCGTATCATATATTTGTGCGTACAACATAATGTCATTTATCCTGGAATTGGCACTGCTGTTGTCGAAATACACCTGCCACATATATTTTTGCTGTAATCAGCAGTTACGGAAAACAGCTGTATTCTAGCACGTGCGGTAATTTGACAGAATTACTCCCTGAATTCACTTAAATATTCATAAAATCGGTGTTATATCCGATAAAGTTTGGATCTATGTTTCCGCGCAGAGCAACTTTTTTGGTTTCCGTCATCAGGCAAAATTCAGCGTAACGTCAATATCAGGTAAACACAGATTGAACAACAAAACTGTTTAATTTTCCTTAGTCTGATTTTCAATCAATGTTTCGGGATAGATAGAAAACATGGTCAGTGTGTCAAAATGTAAGCTGTATTTTGGCTAGGGACAGAAAGACAAAATACAGCTTATATTTCAAGACACTGATTATGAATATGTACGCACAAGAAATGTACAACGTAATAATATTTTTTATCCGTGAACTTTTTTTGCGTTAATATATAACATTGTTCATATGCTCATTGTTCCTAACAAGTCTGACACGTATACTGTAAAATTATATATTTTCAAGGGTCTCTATAATTTCGTGGTTTTCCAATAATTAACATTTCATTTTCATCGATATTTGTGGTTTACTCTTGCTCCAGAAATTCGCTAGTATTATAATCCATAACAACTGTTATCCATTTATTATTTCGTGGGCATACATTGTATCAATTAATTGATTGTTTGAAAATTCACGAATTCAACGAACATAAATCCCCCTAAAAATAATATTGTTACAGTAACTATAATGGTTATTGGTCCATCATAAGTGAGTGATAAACTAAATGGTAGTTAGACAGGTTACAGAAAAGAGCAGTAAACAGCCAGGTACACAAAGACACTATGACTTACAGGTTTGTGTGAGTGAAGAAATCTTCACATGGAGTGATGCACATGTGGACACCGTTCGGATTTCCCGCCAACTCTATACTGGTACATACTAGCTCTTCCGAGGAATTGACACTACTGTCGTAAACAGGGTGAATCAAATTGATGTTATACGCAGACGCAATACCTGTAACGAAATGAATTAAAGTTGTGATCATAAAGATATATCTATTCTGTCCACTTAACTAAGCGGATGGGACTATAAACGGTGGCCCGTGTGAGGATTGTCCAATCTCGCACGCTGTGGCTTTTCTAAAAGTAGGCATGATAACGCTGGTCCAAGTGTCTAAGGATAGTATCAGACGACACAATTATTTCAAAGGCATTAGACGGACTCCAGAATTTTCCGAACACAAATCAAATCTAGGCCCCCAACTCTGGCTTTCAGCCTCTCATGGGACAACTGCTAGAGCTAGGATAATGTATTATTATGCCTTGGAGCCGTCCAAAAAACTAGAATAATCAAGCGATGACCGCAACAGACGGTTCAATCCCACTGAAGGGGATGCATGTCGCCCTCTCACGTCGCCAGAACACTGACGTTCGTCGGTGAGAGGATACCCGGACACGGGATGAGTCACGGAGTGGAAAAACCTGGCAGTCAGTCAGTCGGTCGGTCGGTCGGTTGGTCACGTCGCCAGAACGCTGATGTTCGTCGGTGAGAGGATACCCGGACACGGGATGAGTTATGGAGTGGGAAAACCTGTCGGTCTGTCGGTATCGATTTGTTTCTGTGATAGAAAATATTGTTAGTAACATATCGCAACTCGATATGTATAATTACGGAAACTACAACATTGAAGTTGTCACAAAGGCAAATGTAAAGAAATTAAGACAGGAAAAAAACACCCTGAAATCGCGTCTTTTTGTAAATTACCACTTGCGTGGTACCAATATCCGGTGTCGTGAGTACTTAGTGATAATACTATAATTGATATCATCAAAACATTCCATCTTCATTACTTAATGAGATATCATAAAAACAGTTCAATACAACCATTGATATTGACTTATCATATTGAATTAGTTTTAAAGTTTTCACCGCGAGAAAAAAAATACTTTTCTTTCCTCAATCAATATTTTTTTTATTTCTTTGTAAACATGACCACGTGACTTCTTTAAAATGTTTGATATTTACCTGGTGGCTTATGTATAGTTTTTACGACGTCTTCGAAACTCTTCGCAGAGAGGATTGCTCGCATGAAGAATCGCCGAGCTACAAACATATTTAACATCGACATATTTAAGATATCTTGGTGTAGGTTAGCCGTACTAATATTACTTCACTCTGACATAGAAAATACCTGGAAGGTTGAAGTGTGTTAAAATGAAGTGATGTAAACAATATCTTTAACATGAATGGAACAATTGGCATATATCATTTAAAAAATGTGAGGAAATTTTCTGTGGTGTCAACGGAAACATTCGCTTTAGCCAATGTTAGACAAGAATTTCCCTGTTCCCTCTGCAAACCAGAATGTGATCAGAATTACAACATGATACCAAATTGAGAGCTCTCAACATACAACAATTTTTAGGAGCGGGACTGGGCCTCTACCTGAAGTGACACACTCTGTATGTCACTTCAACCTCTCCTCGGCCTCCCCATTAAAAAAACTGCGTGGGTGTGAGGGTAAAAAATCTGGATCTTTCAACTCGGTCGGTAAAGATTGATATATTCTACTTACGTATTCCTGACCTGTTAACTGTCTTTTGGTATACATTGTTCGCTGAACTCATCAAATTCTGCGACATTATATTGAACATGTTTCCTGGCATCGTACCTGTCAAGGGAGGTAACCATGACAAACTCGTTTAAAGTTCGAGTTATAATTCTACCTGTCAAGGGAGATAAATACGAAAATCTGTTATAATGTTAGTTTGTCCAACCCATCGAAAAGGTAACCATGAAACTCATTATAATGTCGGACTCTTCATAACCCTGCGTTTTGGCTGTTCGCGGCAGAGAACCGCGTGACGTGTGGCAATGGCCTCTCTATTTCTGAGCGTGTCTAGAATGAAAATGGCGTGAGCAGAAAAATGTGACGTAATTGCTGACGTAGACGGTAAACGTGTATGGCACGCTAGTGATTCTTTAATCTATTCCATGCTTTTTTTCTCTCAGATAAATAAATAAATAAGTGGTAAAGTAGAACTTTTGGAATCTACTGATACTAAATATGTATGTTTCGCGACATCAACAAAAATATATTAAATTGGATATTGAACAGTACATAAGCTACATAACATGAGATCAGTTTCCACTTTGCTGGTAATATAATGTTACGGTTGTTGGTGGTGGTTCAAAATTCGCGATTTATGAAAGGATTTGTTCAAATGTATTTTCGCGGGGAAGTTATAAAAAGGGCCACGGTTACTGACATTTTTTCATTGTAACTAATGAATCAAGAATGCTACCCTTAACAGTAATACTAGATCGTATAGTGAATGTTATAGATACCAGCTATGGTGAAGGCCAGGAACTTTTCGTTCACTGTCTCGCCATTCCATGTGTCGGTGATGTCCATATCGAGCCAGACCACAGCCTTGTCCATTGAAGGAGCTCCGTCCTCAGAGTGTCCGAGAACAAACTACAAAGAATATTGGATGACATATGGTCACAGTCAAAACGATTAAGCTCGTTGAAGGACCCATCAACATTAATGATGTAGTCGTTTCGGGTTTTTGGATTCATAAACACAACTTAAAGCCTATTTTTTGATGACAGGGTTACTAAAACTTTACGATCGTTTGTTAAAGGAAACATCGAGCGAGTTAAGGGGAAAAGGCAGGTCAAGAAAGCTGACGAAGGTCATCACACAGCTGAGATCCTAACAATTTATGGAGGTAACAACGGTTATCAACATAACGACAAAAATGGTTGATAAAAAATTCAAGGTAATGTTTATTAAACCCTTAACATGTAGATGTAATCGGAGCCGACGAATTCCAAAATCGCTAAAGGTTCGTGTAGCAAACGACTGCTAATTTTAACAAAGTTCTTTGTAGCCAAAGACTACTAAAGGTAACAAAGGTTGGTGTAGCCAAGGACTGCTAAAGGTATCAAAGGTTGGTGTAGCCAAGGACTGCTAAAGGTATCAAAGGTTGGTGTAGCCAAAGACTACAAAAGGTAACAAAGGTTGGTGTAGCCAAGGACTGCTAAAGGTAACAAAGGTTGGTGTAGCCAAGGACTGCTAAAGGTATCAAAGGTTGGTGTAGCCAAGGACTGCTAAAGGTAACAAAGGTTGGTGTAGCCAAGGACTGCTAAAGGTAACAAAGGTTGGTGTAGCCAAGGACTGCTAAAGGTAACAAAGGTTGGTGTAGCCAAGGACTGCTAAAGGTAACAAAGGTTGGTGTAGCCAAGGACTGCTAAAGGTAACAAAGGTTGGTGTAGCCAAGGACTGCTAAAGGTAACAAAGGTTGGTGTAGCCAAAGACTGCTTAAGGTAACAAAGGTTGGTGTAGCCAAGGACTGCTTAAGGTAACAAAGGTTGGTGTAGCCAAGGACTGCTAAAGGTATCAAAGGTTGGTGTAGCCAAGGACTGCTAAAGGTATCAAAGGTTGGTGTAGCCAAAGACTACAAAAGGTAACAAAGGTTGGTGTAGCCAAGGACTGCTAAAGGTAACAAAGGTTGGTGTAGCCAAGGACTGCTAAAGGTATCAAAGGTTGGTGTAGCCAAGGACTGCTAAAGGTAACAAAGGTTGGTGTAGCCAAGGACTGCTAAAGGTAACAAAGGTTGGTGTAGCCAAGGACTGCTAAAGGTAACAAAGGTTGGTGTAGCCAAGGACTGCTAAAGGTAACAAAGGTTGGTGTAGCCAAGGACTGCTAAAGGTAACAAAGGTTGGTGTAGCCAAAGACTGCTTAAGGTAACAAAGGTTGGTGTAGCCAAGGACTGCTTAAGGTAACAAAGGTTGGTGTAGCCAAGGACTGCTAAAGGTAACAAAGGTTGGTGTAGCCAAAGACTGCTAAAGGTAACAAAAGTTGGTGTAGCCAAAGACTGCTAAAGGTAACAAAGGTTGACGGTCATGACGAATTGTAAACGTCATGACAGTCTATAAATAACTCATCGTAAAGTGAAGGAAACATCATACAGCGAAGGTCACAACGAATTGACATTATACTAATGTTATACTCACGGTATTAGTAGCTGTGTTTCTGACGTAGATATCCGTACATCCATTAGATTGCGAAAGATGACGACTTTCGTCCGACAGGGTAGACAACTCCACAACGGAATTATCGCCAAACAAGGTCGTCAACTCGGGCTCAATGCTAAGGAGGAACAGCTTACGAAGGAGCAGATATTGAAATGAATCAAGACAAGTTACGTCTAACATAGGAGGGGTATGACGTTGATGTTCATTAGGAAATCGGAACGAAACAACATAAAAAAAAAACATTATTTGAGAAAAACCTGTTCGAAATTAGTTGAAATCAAATCAAAGATGGTGATCAGTCTTTGTTGACAAAGACGAATCGATTGATGTTGACTGTTATTTTTCTTAGTGTGACACCAAAATCCAAATTTCATATTTATCCGTTTTGTTCCTACAAAATATAGGTCATACGTGTTTAGAAAATATACAAGACATCTTTCAAACCTTCTCAAATTCTATCCCAGCACCGTCAGCTGTCCCTTCTAACTCCCTCCGATAAAGTGGGTAGGATGACGTCACGGTGTCAAGGAATCTCTTGTACGTTTCTCTTCCTTCATTTGAGTCGGCGAATTGTTTGAGCATTTTAATGTGACCATCCATCTCGGCTAAATATTCTCGGATCTCTTTACCCATACGCTTCCCCTGAAATGGAATCAATACTTCCTGTCACATTGTTGCAGACAGACATGGTAAGATTTTTGTGACATTTAAGACAGTGTGGTTTTTCTGCCATTTTCACCTGTGAAATATTGGTCCGTCCAGGACAACGCATACTTGTTTAACGGATGTGTATTACATATGACACAAGATATGCAAGAAAATAAGCTGATCATGGCGTACGCTTTAGTTCAGTGGTGACATTATATAGGTATGAAAAACATTATAAAGATTTGAAAATGAGTTTGAGAAAAAAAATGCTGTTCGTCATGTATGTAGGAGAGGGATATATCACTTGAAGGTCGCCAAAATAGGGTCACATCCACGTCAGAGGCCTCGATTCTGGTACAATCCTTACATTTTCTTCAAACACTTTTTAAAAGGATAGATCATTGTGGATCGTTCATTTTTTGTCAATATTTCATGGATTCTGAGTTAGACTTTGAATTTTATCTTTAAGGATTTATTTTCTGTGTTTTGCATAGTTACCAGTTCATATCCGACGTCATAATGACTTCCGGTAAGCTTCAGTGAGACTAGCGACCGTGAAACTCCCGCAGACCTCTCCATAGCCTTGACACAGTAAAAAAACACCGGGAAAACACCAATGTGGGACTTCTATAGAGTATAATAAAAACATCCTTACGTCATGTGACATCTGTGTCACAAAAACTGTTATCTTAGAACACATGTTACAAAATCTGGCCTGTACACGTACACACGTCGCCATGTAGGGCTACAATCATACCAAAACACATTTCGAATAATAAAAAAGGGTATAAGGAATTTGTTCAACCCAACACAACGATCTGTAAAATATTTAATGTTAACTCTTAAGATGAAAGGTTAAAAGTTGTAAAATTAGTTGTATGAATAGATAAAACACCTCTTCCGAATAAATCATCATAAATCATAAGGTAAATTGGCATATTTTTCTATTTATAGTGTTGTTGTACCACGTCATCATTTATTCATATCGTAAAACTGTTCACTGGAATAAGAAATGTATTTTTGTGTGTTAAGACATCAGAGGGAAATTAAAATAGATGTTTTATAGGTTAGTGCTCTACTTCCATAATTCAATAAATTTCATTTCAGAATTTTCATACACACATGTACCTGAACATTTTAAAAGAACGTCCAGTATATTTGTATGTATTAAGACGTTACATGCTGGTTAAATCTCGGGAATAAATTCACCAGTACTGTCTACCTGCAATCCTTAAAAGTGTACGAATGACAGCCACCCTGTATGTACCTAGTATCTAAGTCCTATTGAGGCGAATGGTATTTGGTAGATACTGGATCTAATATCATATTATGAGTCTTTCTGCACAATTTTTTGATGTACGATTGGAGAAGTTACTACAATCGCGTTTATATCGAAGTTAGAAATTTTCGTGGTTTTGCAGAAAGCTTGAAGAAAATATGTCATGTCATATTTTTGCGTATTACACCTGGAATATAGGGTATTTTGTTGTGACGTCACTTTTGCTAGTCGAATAACTTCTGGTTTGATATAGAAATATCCGTTTTCTACCATATTTCCTTCACAAATCGATCATTTGATAAAAAGGATTTTTAAGTAACTTCAATTTGCTTTGTGTTTTATGAAGCTGGTCATGAATCTTTCTTTTTTGACTCGCCAAAACCCTTCTAAAATGAATGTTTTTGACTCGTTTCATTAATTTAAATATCAAACGGAAACCCAAGTAAGATATCATAAGAACAGTTTTCTGTATTGATTTTATCAGCGTAAATAAGAGGCTCTCGAAATTTTCCAATTTTGCAGTAAATACTACGTGTTCGGATATTCGTGTTGGAATATCTTTGTAAACCATCACTGTGACATGTCTTCTGTCTGAGATAAAGATAAACATGTCGTTGCGCATTTTATAACAGTCGTATTCCACTCTCTCTCATCATTTCATAATTTCTCTCCCATCATTTCATACTTTCTCTCCCATCATTTCATAATTTCTCTCCCATCATTTCATACTTTGTCTCCCATCATTTCCTAATTTCTCTCCCATCATTTCATACTTTGTCTCCCATCATTTCATAATTTCTCTCCCATCATTTTATAATTTCTCTCTCATCATTTCATACTTTCTCTCCCTTTCTCTCCCATCATCTCATACTTTCTCTCCCATCATTTCATACTTTGTCTCCCATCATTTCATAATTTCTCTCCCATCATTTCATACTTTCTCTCCCATTATTTCATACTTTCTCTCCCATCATTTTATACTTTTCATACATTTCATACGCACACACACACACACACACACACACACACACACACACACACACACACACACACACGCACGCACGCACACACACACGCACACACACACACACAAACACACGCACGCACGCACAACACACACAGACACACGCGCGCACACATACACACACAACACACACACGCACGCACAACACACACACACGCACACACGCACACACACAACACACACACACACACAACACACACACGCACAACACACACACACACACACAACACACACACACACACACACACACACACACACACACACACACACACACACACACACACACACACACACACCTTATCCACTGGTATTCATTCTTCGTCTTTTGTTGAGGAATTACATGGAATCATAGAGAAATAACTAGCGTCACCAATGCACTATCATGCACACATTGTACATTTTCAGGAAACAAACATGAAGCAAAAACGTTCAGTTTGATGCATTCCGCACTCATATTACGTACACAATACTTATATACCGCGTTTAAACCTGCATAATGTCATCTTACCATATCAATGTCGTATACACACGTATACCCAGGACGTATATACATACATACATTACACATGCATATACACAAATTTTCACAATTAATGTAATTACTTTTACACACGAAATCATACCACATCCATACTCACACAGTTTACATAGCAAAGAAATTTATGATAAATAAATATCTAAATAAGGTGATCACTAGTAATGGTAATACCTAACTGCAAAATTGTGTTAGCAAACCAGTGGCAATACTCAACCAGCTTTGTTAGATACACTCACCTCACTTTAACGAAATTCTATTAACAAACACAATGTAGTAACACCAGTCCAGCCTAGCGAGGTAAATGAAAATTATCTCACTTTAACGAAATTCTGTCAACACAAGTGAGTTTCAATTAAGTTACCTCACTTTCACGAAATTACCAGCCTAGCGAGGTATATTTAAGTTTCACACCGAGGCGTTTACTTAAAGTACCCGGTGACAAAACTACGCAGTCATTGTTATTATGTTACTAAAGTCACGGTTAACAGCTCACTATGTATAAATACAATCGTCCCATGTCTGTTCATTATAAAGTCCAAACTTGCAGTAAAGAGGGGACGCTTACGAATAAATTCATGAACGAACGAAAGAAATTGGAAAGATCAATATGAAAATAACACATCCTTTTTATGTAATTAGTTAATATTTCACATACAGTATGGGAGGGGGCCTTCACAAGTGTACTTCAGTGTGGCAGCACTATAAAGTCAGTTTCAGTTCCGTAATATCACAAGGAGGCTTACATGATTAAGGCTCCAACCACTTGCACATGGCTTACTTACATAAGGAAGCCGTTTAAGATGAGTATAGCAATATGTAAAGTGTTCAACAATATAAAACCATAAATTCTAAATCTTGTTTTTTTCCTGGACAGATAACAAAAAAAAAAAAAAAAAAAAAAGACTCGATTTCTTCCTTGGCTGTCTTTTAAATTTTAATTTTCTACTTTATTTCTTGGTTTGATACTCAGGTATTCCTTATATTTATAATTTGACCCTCGTTTCAATTGATTTAAGCTTTGTATGCATGTCTGTGTTCTAACAGATTGAGGAATGTATTTCGGGAGTTATATTCCATATCAAAAGAGAAAAATAGTTTTTACTTGTTAATTGTATGAACGACGTAAACGAACAAAATGTGCATGCAGATTTTTTTCTTTAAACAAGAATAGGTTGTCATCGTTACCAAGCCACTATACACTGGTATTTGTGTTATTGCCTTCAGCTCAGTCCAGCTGTTAAACAACACCTTTGTCATTACTATTCTTAGAACTAAGAAATCGGGGTTACAGCCTAATTGTGATACTGTTACTCAAGAAGTAAAATTAATGGGTGAATTCTAAAGAACTTCAAAGAGCTTTTGACCCATCTTCAGCATTTTCATTTTCTTCGAAACGCATTTCTTCAAGACAGTTTTATTTTCAGCTCTGTACACTACCATACCCAACTCTAATCTGAAAGAACACCTTCGTTCCCTTGCCGTGAGAGTTTTCTATTCCACGAAATGTGAACGGCGTTATCAATGTATGGTTGTAAACTATACTATTCTTCAAAGAAGAAGTACATGAAGAACGAAATCATAAAAGAGATCGAGTTTCTGGAAAACACATACATCGAGTTTGGTGTTATGACCTCCCAACAGGCTAATGGCATACCTGCAGGAACTAGTTGTACCTCTGTGTTTGTTGACTTGTTTTTGTTTTCATATGAGGTTGAATTTATAGATATTTAAATAACAAGATATTTATTGACCATGCCCATTGCACATTTATTTTGTATATAGATATCAGAATTGAAAGTCAACAGGTTCTTCTACATCAGCCGCTCGATATTTTCCTACAACGAAACCACCATTGACAGCTTTCTACCAAGTTGTATGATAAACGTGGTGATATTGATTTCCTTTTGTGAATTTCTCATTTCTGGATAGCAACAATCATGCATTCCTGACATATGGTAACGTCATTATTCGTAAAACATTATTTTTGTCCAAACAATTGGAAAGCTTGTATTCCCTTGTTTCTAAATATATGAGGGTTGCTTATCGAAAAGTTGACTGGAAAAAAGGGTGAAAATTCATGTTGAAGCAAAATGACATATTTTTCTTAGTGTCATTGAAAATTCCTGGGAGTTAAGGGGTTAACACACAGTGTGGTAACACCACACAGTCTAGAGAGGTCCGTGAAAGTAACCTCACTCCAGCGAAATTCTATTAGCACACAGCGTAACACCACAGCGGCTAAGCGAGGTACGTGAAATTTACCTGAGCGGTGTGTGCTACATGTAGGTCACCAACTTGAAGATCGGGGAGTCGATACACTGTGTGCAACACTGCACCACTAAAATGGGGTACATAGTAAAAATGTCATGTGATGTAGAGATTAGATTTTCTACGCATAATACGGGGTCGGCAAAGCGAGGTAACGGGGGAAAATACCTCGTTTTTTTCATACCTCACTTCGTAAATGTGTTGCCATGCTTTGTACCTAAGAACGTGATGTAAACAAAGACACACACCCTCACACGCACAAACAAGCACACACACAAACAAGAACACACACACACACACATACACACACACACACACACACACACACCCACCCACACACATACACACAATAATTCAATAATAATGAGAAAAGATTTCATAGAAAATGAAAAGGTAACAAGCAAATGACCAGTTATTTATGTTCCAATCACTCGCAAATGAAAAACTAACCTTTCTATTTCCTGTTAATT